GCCTCTTGGGGCCCTTTGGGGGCTTCTCGGGAGCCTCTTTGGCCGTCTTGGGGCGTTCCTGACCCGTCTGATGCCGTCGGGGGCCGTCTTGGGGGCTTCTCTGAACCGACTTGGGGCCCTCTTGGAGCGCTTCGGGGCCGTCTTGGAGGCCATCTTGGGCGTCTTGGAGGCCTCTTGGGCCGTCTTGGGGCCCTCTTCAGGCCTTCTTGGAGGCCCATTGGGCCGTCATGGGGCGCTCTTGGAGGCCTCTTAGGCGATCTTGTGACGATCTGTGGGGCCTCTTGTGCAGTCTTCAGCCGTCGGAGTCCCGAAAAGACACATGCCAAAATCCATCAAAAACGTATGGAAAATCACAGATTTTTGCCTCTTCGGGCCCTCCTGGAGGAGCTCTTGAAGCGTCTGGGAGGAATCTTGAGGCTATCTTAGGCCGTCTTGGGTGCATCTTGGGCCGTCTTGGAGGTATATTGGGCCATCTCAGCCGTCTTGGAAGGCATCTTGGGCCATATTGGGCCATCTTGGGGCCGTCTGGGGCAGGAAAACCGTTCGCAACCGGGTCTTCCGGGTGGCCGGCGGGACGCGCCGGAGCCCCAGGGGGAGCTCTTTTGGACAAGAACCAAAACCCAAACCGAAATCATCTAGCACGCCAGGCACCCCTGTGATGAATCAACAGGGGGCGGCGGACACATACTGGCCTTCGGCACATCCCGCCACCGTGGCTGGGTTTTGGATCAGAGTTCTCACGGATGCTTTTGCAGGTCTCTTCGGAGCGCTCTCGGGGGCCTCTTGGGAGCAGTTTGTGGGCCTCTTGGGAGCCTCTTGCGGACCTCTTGAGACCTCTGTGGGCCTCTTGGGGGCCTCTTGGAGCCTTTCGGGGGGCCTCTTGGGACTCTTGGGGGATTGGGCCATCTTGTGCCGTCTTGGGCGCCTCTTGGGCCGTCTTGGGGCCCTCTTGGGCCGTCTTGGGGCCCTCTTGGGGGCCTCTGGGGCCGTCTTGGGGCGATCTTGGGGGCTTCGTGAGCCGTCTTGAAGCTTCGGGAAGCCGAAAAGACGAGAATGCTAAAATATTCCCAAACCTTTGGTAAACCGATGATTCTAGCCTGGTGGGGCCCTCTTGGGAGTCCTCTTGAGGCGTCTTGAAGGCCTCTTGGGCCGTCTGGGGGCCATCTTCAGCGTCTTGGAGCGATCGTTCGGCGATTCGGAGCCCACACGGATTGTCTTGGGGGCCTCTTGAAGCCCTCTTGGCCCGTCTTGGGGCCCTTGTGGTTCCGATACAGTCAGGCGGCATGATCCGAGAAGCCCCGGGGCACCGCGACAAGCCCTGAGAGATTTCGGACAGTGAGTGCTGGGCCCCTGAAAAGCCTTCAGGAGTGAGGATTGGGGCTTCGAGGATTGGGCAGAGGACCTGATGGCACGCCCACTCCGTGCCCAGCGGCAGGCACCCTGGTGGAGATCTGTAGAATTGTACATGCATACATACATACATGCATGCATGTATGCATGCATACATACACACATACTCACATACACACATACACACATACACACATACACACATACACGCATATACATACATACATGCATGCATACATACATACATACACGCATACATACGTACATACATGCACACATGCATGCATGCATGCACACACACATACATACATACACACATACATGCATACATACACACAGACCATGCACACATGCAGACATGAATGCATACATACATACAGCATACATACACGCATACATGCATGCATCCATACATACATAGATACATACATACATACACACATACATCCATACATATACACATACGTGTATACACTCATACATATATACACACCTATTTACATACATACATACATACATACATACATACATACATACATACATACATACATACATACATACATACATACATACATACATACACACACATACATACATACATACATGCATGCATGCATGTATGCATACACACATACATACATACATATATACATGCATACATACACCCATACATATATATACAACCATACATACATGCATGCATGCATGCATGTATACCCACATGCATACATATGTGCACACAGCAGTCCATACATACACACATGCATGTTTGCATGCATACATACATACATAAATACATACATACACGTATGCGCATGCATGCATGCATGCATGCATGCATGCATGCATACATACATACATACCTGCATACATACATGCATACCGACCTGCACATTTACATACAAGAATTAAGGAACCTTCCCGCGCCTGGAACTCTGGACCTGGAATCGGGATACTGGGAACCCAGCCGCCTACCGATATCGGCCTGGAACCAGGAGCCAGGAACCTGGGAGTCCAGTCACTTTCAGTTTGGATCCCTTTCGTGCAAGTGCTGAATCGGGAAAAAAGGAGGGCATGGGAAGGGGGTGGAGGGTAGGAGGAGGGGGAATGGAAGGGGATCAGAGAGGAGGTGAGAGGAAGTATGGATGGGGTGGCCGTAGGGCTTGCGGCTCAGACCCCGCGGCTAGTGGCGGCGGTGGTCGGAGGCCCAGAGATTGGTACCAACACCAGTATCGGCGGTTGCCTCCGTCGAGGGAAGATGATCCAGATCTCGGTGATGGTGGTCAGATTCAGGCTTCTAGGCGGCTGGGAGATCACCACCAGCACCATAATCCAGGACCATCTATTCCCTCGGTGGAGGCGCGCCTCGGTGTCGGTGTTGGTGCCAGTTGTTTACGCTTCGCGAATCCCCACCAGGTGTTTCGGTTCTGGCTTTCCTTTTGAGTGGCTGCCCGCTCGCTCGCTTCGCTTGCCTTTCTTTTCCTGCTGCCTAATCGCGGCCCGACAAGTGTTCGGACGGCTTTCGACCCGCCTCGCGAGCCTGTTGACCAAAAAAGCGGATCCCCACCAGGTCATCCTAAAGTAGCCTGTCTAGGGAAGAGTACCGTCTATCTCGGGGCTTGGTTTGAAGGTCTTGTGGTCCTCTTGGGGCTCTTGTGTCGGTTCTTGCGTCTGGAAGCTCTCTTGGGAATTGTTCTGGTGCTAGAGTTGCTCGTGTTGGTGTTGCTGGTGCTGGCGGTACTGGTGGTGCTACTGCTGTTAGTGTTGTTGTTTGTGGTGGTGCTGCTGCTGGTGCTGGCGTTGATGCCGGTGGTTGTGCAGCTGTTGCTGGTGTTGCTGCCGTTGGCGCTGCTGCTGCTGGTGCTGCTGCTGGCGCTGCTGGTATGGGTGCTCCTCTGGGGTCCTTTTGAGGCCTCTGGGGGCTTGTTTCGAAGGTCTTGTGGTCCTCTTGGGGCTCTTGTGTCGGGTCTTGCGTCTGGAAGCCTTCTTAGGAATTTTCGGGCCCTGGAGAGCGCCTTGGGGCAGTTTGGGAGAGCATGGATCAATAGATGTGGGGTCTCCGATTTCGCCCTCCCCCCCCCTCGGGAATCTTCAAACATCGCCTCTTGGAGCCTTGTTGAAGCTGTGATAGGGGGTCTTGGGGTCCTTCTCTGTTGGGGGGTCTTGGAGCCCTCTTGGGGGCCCTCTTGGGGCTCTCTGGAGCTCTCCTGGGAGCTTCGGAAAGCCTCCTGGGGCCATCTTGGAGGCCATCGATCAAAGAGAGGGGGGTTCCTTGAGATCGAGGCCCCCCGTGAGGAGGCATAATAATGACCCCTTGGGACGCTCTTGAGCCTCTCTTGGGGCGGTCTTGGGGTCGTCTTAGGGGCCGTTTTGGGGGCCTCCTGGGACCTTGTTGGAGCTCGTTTGGGCCATTTGGGGGCCATCTTGCGGCCTCACAAGAGTATCGGAAGCGAAAAGGCGAGAAGGCAGAACACATTTGATTTGTCTTAATGATCTGAAGGATTTTGGCTTCTCGGGGAGGTCCTGAAGGGTCTCCAAAAGCACCTAGGACTGTCGTGTGGCCCTCTTGGAGCCCCGTGGAGGCAGGATTGAGGTCATCATGAACGATCTTGCGTTATTTTGAGGCATCTTGGAGGCCATCCTTGAGCATCGGGGGCCTTCTTGGAGCGATCTTGGGCGAAACGGGACCCTCTGACACCTCGCGGTCCCCTCAAAACCAAACTGTTGGAAGGGGAGGGGGAGGGCATCCCTCCCCGAAGGGAAGATGGTTTTTGGAAGAGGGAAGGAAGACATCGTCAGACCACCTGCGCCCAGAGGGCTGGTGGGATTGCCAGGCCCCCGAGGTGGACTCGGGGAAATATAAGACTCGTGTACGCCAGAACTCGGGTTAGCCGACGCTTTTTGGCAAGCGCGTCCTGGATATTGACGGTCCAGTCTTCGTGGGATGTTTGTAGCGGGAGTTGGCGTCAAATTTCAGTTTGGGTCTCGTCATTTGCATGATGGCTCCGTCAGGCCCCCAAGGTGCATTACTTACGAAGCCGCCCCAACCCAACCCGAAGGCCCTGGACAACCCCGGATCGCGGGTTGGGGGGCGTGCGGGGCCCGTCGTGTCTCTTCAGCGTTCTGGAACGCCCCCGCCATGGTAAAACAGTGACTTCCGGCTAGGCTGGGAAATAGTCAAAGGTGGACGTGGGCCTGGCAGCGCGCAAGCCCTGGGGTCGCGGGGGCTCGCGTGCATCTGGCGCCCCAAAGGGGAGGCTGCCCGACTGCCTTGGGCTCCCGCAGGCTGGTGCCCGTCCTGCGCCCCGGGGGCCTGCGTGCAGGTGAGAGGTCCCTGGGGTCTGCGGGGTCTCGTGCTCCTCCTGCGACCTCGGGGGCTGTTGCTTCCACGCGAGTGGACTTCCCCGCCGTCCCTGTCATGCTCTCTCCTCGTCCTTCTTTTTCTCCTCCCCCTCCTCCTCCACGTCCTCCTCCTCCTCCTCCTCCTCCTCCTCCTTTTCCTCCTTCCTCCTTCGTTTGGAGGGTCTTGGCGACGACGACGACGCCGACGCTGACGACGACGCCGACGCCGACGACGACGCCGACGCCGACGACGCCGCCGACGCCGACGACGCCGACGACGACGACGACGACCGCGGCCGCCTCGGCTCAGGGGCGCCAGGCCCTCCCCCGCCGCCCATTGGGCCGGGAGGCGGCCATATGTCCGCCGCCGGCGCGGCGCAGCGGGAGCCGCGCGGCGAGGCTCCGCGGCGGGGCCGCTAACCGTCGTCGCGTCGTCCTCCCGGGGCCCTCCCCACGGCCGCCGGGGCCTCCCGGGGACCCCCCCCGACTCTGAGCCATGAGATCGCCCCCCTCCTCGGCCCCGCACCCCCACCCACAGAACCTCTGTTCTTGGGGCCCCCCACCCCACGATTTCTCTCCCAGAAACGACCGACGCCCCCCTCAACGCCCCCCTCCTCGCCCCCATCCTCGCCCCCCTCCTCGGCCCGGCACCCCCAGTTCCAGCCTGTGGGGTTCTCCTCTCCGTGCCTAGGGGCCGTCCAAGAACTAGCTCTGGAGGCCGGCGCTATTCAAGATCACGGCGTCGGAGGTCTTGGCCCGGGGCCTCTCTTCGTTGCGTCGTCCTCCTGATGCCTCGAGGGGCCTTCGTTCTACTGGAGGCCGCCTCCTGCTGGCGCCTTCCGGCAGATCAAGAACTTGCAAGTCGAGGAATCGACCTCGGGCTGTTTTTCGTTCGTTGCGCTGCGTGCGCCGTTTGATCTAATTATGTCACCGCGCCGTTCGTTTCGACGTGCGGCCCTGCGTCTTGGTGAGGGCGCCGCGGACACCAGGCCAAGCTCCGCATCCAGCGCAGGCTTTGCCGTGCGGTTTGCCGCGGTGCAGGCGTCGTCTGCCTGGGGCTTGGGACGCAGGGCCTTGCCGTGGGTTTGCCGTGGTGTCGGCGTCGTCCACCTGGGTGCGTCGAGGACAAACGGCGCGGCGACATGTGGAGAGGAGGGTGGCAGGAGTAAGGAGAGCAGGGCGGCGGGCGGAGGAGGAGGGGGAGAGCCAGAGTAAAGTCCCAGGATCGGCCGACGATGCTGAAACAGAACCTCCTGCTCCAAGCCCGCTCCTAATTGGCCACTGCAGGCGTTCCTTCTCATGGCCAGGAGCGCTCCCTTGAGAAGCGAACGCCCAATGGGCGTGCCATCAAGGCGGCTGGAACTCTGGGAAAGCGGGAGGAGGATGAGGAGGAGAAGGAGGAGAGGGATGATGATGCTGCTGCTGATGATGATGGTGATGATGATGACGATGATGATGGTGATGGTGATGGTGAAGGTGAAGGTGATGGTGATGGTGATGGTGATGGTGATGATGATGCTGATGATGATCATGATCATCATGATGATGGCGATGATGCTGCTGCTGATGATGATGACGATGAGGATGAGGATGAGAATGAGGATGAGGGTGAGGGTGAGGATGAGGGTGAAGAGGAGGAGGAGGAGGAGGAGGAGGAGGAGGAGGAGGAGGAGGAGGATGTCCTTCCTCCCTCACTGTGGAGCGAGGAGGCCGGAGAGGTCCGGCCGCCGGCGGCGCTGCCGGGGCGCGCGCTGGCGGAGCGGCTGCATGCAGAGGCGGAGGCCCGGCGGCAGAGGCGCGGCGAGGAGGACGTGCGGCGGCGGGGGGGAGGGGCCCCGCATCCCGTCCCCGCCGCCTCTTTAGCCCCTCGTCGCATACTTCGATTACAATTCCGATTGGGATGCCATCCGAGGCGGGACGCAGGAAGTATTTATTTTCCTTTCAAGTGCGCGGTGCTAATATTATATCGTTCGGCGAACCCCCCCCGAATAATTATTTAATTACGGGGCGGTGCTGATGATAACACCGGGGGTTCCTTAATTGCTTCTTGAGGTTATGGCCGTGGGTCAGAGAGCGCCCTCCCCTGCAGGACCACTAAAATGAGGAATGGCACGGTGGTCAGAGGCCTCGCGTTTCATTTTGAAGCCTCCCCCAAAAATGTGCAACATCCAACCAGTCGCTTATGTCCAAGGTCTTGACTTGACGGTGGGTGTGGTGCCTCAATCTCAGCTTGACCGAACAGGTTTGTTGCGCCCCTCGATGTCTGCTTCGGGTGTTTGGCAGACCTGACCCCCCAGCCCTACCGTATTCTTCCTCCTCCTCCTCCTCCGTAGCCGTTTTGGCTCAAAATGTTTGGTCCCCGATTTTGCCCCCCCGCAATAGGCTCCTACCCCTGGAGCAGAAGCCTACTTTCGGGAGCAAGAGCCTACTCGAGAGAAGGAGCCAACTCCCGCAGTCGGCTCCTACTCCCCGGCGTCGGAAGAAACTGTCGGGAACACCCTCTGGTTTCCCGGGGGTCAAAGTGGACATTTCCGTTTCGAGACCAGCCTCCAACAGCTTTCACCTGTTACTCTCCGCCGGTGGCCTTGTGCGAGTCGCAACCCAGCCTCGTGGTGCTCTGCAGTGCGATGCATGGCGCCGAAGGGTCCTGTAGAGACGGCAAGGGAGTGGTGCTGCAAGTGGTGCTCGGGCAAGTGGACGGGGGAACAGTTTGTTAACCAACCACGCCTACAGGAAGAGCTTCTTGAAGTGCGCGACTGCGCCGAGTGCGTTCATGCGTACAGCTCCGTTAGCGAAAAGGAACATGATGTACCATAAGCAGCTCGACCTGCCACAGTCCAATATTAAAGCGTCCGCGGCGAAGCTGCTGCAGTGGCAGAGGGACGGCGCTGACGAGAGCATGGGCGTGGATGCGCCAGGCGACGGGGTTGTGGGTACCAGTGGCGGTGAGAAGGGCCCGACGACGGAGATCCAGCTGTTCACAAACAGGTCATCGATTCGGCCTGGTGGATGACCTAGCCGTCAGGGCTCGTCGGGGGGTGGAGATCCAGGCTCACGGCGACTTGCGTGGCAAGACCTGCAGCAGATGCCGCTACGTGTACAGGTCCACAGGGTCGGGCAGAACATCACGAGAGTCCAAAATGCGCAGTTCCGCCACCAGCAGAGCGAGGCCACCTACAGGGAGAAGCGCGCGGCGCTGGATCGCCAGGTCAAAGGGATGCCAGAGCAGCACGTAGAACGCGGGAAAAGCAGCTGCTGGAGTTGGAGCAGCAGCGTGCGGGGCTTTCGCGTTCTGCATCTCGCCCTCACGGTCCCAAGGCTGACGCAGCAGCTCGAGGGCAAGGCGACGAGAAGGTCATGATCAACAACGCGTCGCCGAGGGCTCCGACATGTCGGCGGCTGCTTTGGGCGAGATGCGGCGTGGGTTCGGTGGTTCAGGCCAGGTGGCTAACGAGATGGTGGCCAATGTCCAGAAGGAGAGAAATACTCCTTTCAGCGGCTGCTGCGGAGGCCCAGGCGCAGGCCAGCCAGGCAGCGCCCAAGGAAGGGGGAGCCGCGGAGGACGATACGCGCCCCTTCGCGAAGGAGCGCGGAAGTGGCGTGAGCATTTTGCCAAGTGTGGCCCAGGTGGGGCTGATGCACACGCGCCTGGGGATGCTGGCGAGTTCCACGAAGCTGCAAAGTGGATGTTCTCGAATATTTTACTGCTGCCCTCCGCGGGCAAGCGACGGAAGTTTTCGGCCCAGCTCGGAGATGAAGAAGTCTCAGGATAGGAGTATAACGACGCTCGGCGCGAGGGGCGCATCCGCTCTGCGAGAGTATCTAATTGGGCCCGAGTCCATGGCTATCCGAATCCAGGAGAACCGTCCGCGCGCGCGAGAGCAGGTTGGCCAGGGGGCGGCGCCAGACGGAGAGGCTGGGCTGGCGCGGGCCACGGAGCCCAGCATGCATGTTGTTGTGCATGTCATTGGTGGAGTGCCCGGCGGTTCCCTGGCGGCTTCGGCGCGCCCGGGTCGTGCTGAGCAGCTCGCGGGGGCCAACTCAGGCGCGCAAGAAGGCGGCGGCCTATGTGCGCGAGGCGGAGGCGAGAGCGCGGCGTGGATAGTAGTGAGCGATTTCAACGAGACCAGGGACGAACCGCGGGCGGAGTGGCCCACCTTCTTCCGCGGGTTGAGCAAGGACCCAGCGGGGCCAACGTGCTTGCCATCGCTCCCTGGTCGCGCGATTGATTATTTCATCTTGTCCTTGGCTCCCGCAGACAGACCGGGCGCCCTGTGCTCGACCTGGTTGGCCGCCGCTTTCCCGCGCCCCCCTGTGCTGATGGCGCTGGGGGGCGAGGCGGAGGCGCCGCGGCGCGGCGCCAAAGCGGGGGCGAGGCGCATCCGCGCGAGGTCGATGCCAGGCCGCGCGAGACCAGCTCGGGGCTGCTGGATTTGAGCGGCGGGTTCCAGATGGCGGTGGCAGGGGGGGGGGGGGGGGGGGGGTCAGGGGGTCGCGGGGCGCCGCGATGGCATCGCTGCGCGAGGAGATGCCGGGGCGCCGCGACGGCGGGGGAAGTAAGGGGGAGAGGGGCGCGGGGGCGAGGGGGGGGTGCGCGGACGGGGGCAAGAGGAGGGGGGCGAGCCGCCCCGGATAGAGCCCCGCGCGGGGCAGCGCGCGGAGGGGGAAGCGGCTTGGGAGAAGCGTTCGAGGTGGATGGGGCATTCGAGGCCGGTGAAGGCGCGGATAAGCGGCGCTCGCAACAAACTTGTCGGACGGCTGATGGAGTAGACCTGCTTGCTGGGCGACGCGGCAAATGCGCGCGCCGCGCGGAAGCGCCAGTCGAAGGAGTCGCGCAGCTTCGTCGCGCGCAGCCGCGCGATGCCGGCGGCGCCTGGGCTTGACCGCCTCGCGGAGAAGGTCTCGGGGCAGGCGCAGGGGCCCGACCTCGAGCAGCTGCGTGCGGCACGGGCGAGCTGGATCCAGCGGTTGCAAGAAGCGTCTCAGGGCGGCGTCAGTGCGGCTGTCAGGATGTCCAAGGTCACGGAGCCGCAGGAGCGGACGGATGCGGGAGACGGTGCGCGACCTTTCGAACGTAGCGATTCCTGTCTCCATGGGCGGTGGATCTGTGGAGGAGGCTGGGGGGCGGCGAACCAGCGCGCCATTGTGATTCCGATTATTGGGGGCAGCTGCCGCCCTTCGCGGCGCGGGGCGTGCGGAAGGCGGCTAGGCGCCCCCCCGGGAAGCTGGCTTTGGGCCCTTCTCGGGCGCGCGCCCAAAGGAATTCCAGTGGCGGTCGATGGCGGTGCTGGGGCGCGCGGCAGATGCCTCCAAAGCCCGCGAGAAGCTGGGGGCGGCCTGCCTGGCCAGAGGACCGCTTAATGTCAGAAAGGATCAGACTGAGCAAGGCCGAAGGCGGGGGCCACCTCATCGCGCCGCTGCATGCGACGTCGACGTTGCGGGGGCGGGCTCGCAGAGGCAGGTCTCTAGGTGAGGGGGGGGGGGGGGGGGGGCGCGGCCTCGCCCCCGGACAGCGCGCGTGGCAGGTAAGCGCGCGGTCGCGGTGCTGATGGATATGGCCAAGTGTTGCGAGACGGTTCGTCATGGGGCCTCCTCCCCGAGGCTCGCGCGGCGGGGCATCCGATACGTTTGGCGCGGTGCCTCATCGAGGAGTGCTCCCAGCCGCGGTGCGCGAGGGCGCGCGGGGGCCATTCCGACATTGCCCGCGCGCCCCGGGGGATCCAGGCGGGGCGCAGTCACGCTGCGACCTTGGCCGGAGTGCTGCTGCGCCGACGCCTCAGACTTACAGATCTACAGGCGTTTTTTCTTTTTTTTTTTTTTTTAAAAAAAAAAAAAAAAAAAAAAAAAAAAAAAAAAAAAAAAAAAAAAAAAAAAAAAAAAAAAAAAAAAAAAAAAAAAAAAAAAAAAAAAAAAAAAAAAAAATATATATATATATATTTTTTAATATATATATATATATATATATATATTATATATATATATATATGTTCCTCTTCTTCTTCTTCCTTCTTTCTGATCGGATGCGCCCAGCGGCCAGGTGGGCGACGCGTCGCTCCCATGGGATTTTCGACATGCAGGTGAAGCGTGGAAGGCGATGGAACAAGGCATTCTCGCGCAAACCAGGACGTAGCACTTCGTGGCCAAGTCGGCCGAGGCCCAGAAGAAGGCGTCGGATATGTGTTTTCTCAGCCTCACGTTCGAGGCGCAGGGGCGCGCGGGGGGCCTGGGGCACGAGCTGACGGGCCCGCGCGCGCTGCGTATGATCGTGGAGCGAGGGCTTCCACGCGCGATCGAGAGAACGCCCAATCTGTGCATTTTGAGGCAGGGCGTTGGGGCGAAGGCGACGAACGCTGTTTTGGAGGGCGGGCGTCTACGCATCAGCATGGCACGGTGCTGGCGCGCCGGGCACCTCTGACTCAGCCTCGGCGAAGTTGAAGCCCGTGGCAGGGTGATCGCGGCATGTCCGCAGAGAGGCCATTCCCTCTCGTGCTGCTCGGCCACCCAGAAGAAGGAGCACATGGGCCCAATGTTCGATGCGACGGCTTACCTGGTGGAGCGGCGTGCGGTTTGGCAGCGTGGGGGCAGAGCGCTGGGCGTAGAGCCGTGGAGAGAGTCGCCCGCCGCGATGGAGAGCCTGGGCAACAACCTGAACCAAGGAGATCTGCGAGGCGGTGCTGGAGGGCGCGCGCCAGCGGCAGCGCGGCCGCATGCCCGGCCACGCTTCTGAGGCTAGTGGTGGAGAGATCCCGTGCCGCCGCGCCTTGAGGAACGGCGTCTGGCGTTGGATGCCAAGCAGCAGGGGGCGTTTCGGGCTGCGTGGTCCGGGGCGTCGACTGCGCTTGCCGTGAGATGGCTGAGGGGCTACCGGGACGTGGGTGGCTGGCCATGGCACGGCAAGGTAGGCGCCGCGCGCGGGCGCGCGCGGCCCGAGCATGGGAAGCTGGTGGGCGACGAGGACACAGACCTGACGGAGGTCTCGGAGTTGCAAGGGTTTCGGATGGGACAGCAGGTGCGTGATCGCGATTCGCGCGAAGTGCGCTGCGACTGCGTCGACCTCGTGACGCTGTTCCCCCAGATGCCGCGGGTTCCCGCGCCCGCGGGGGGCGCGCCCGCATTCTCTTGCGGCGCGGGCGACGACGCGCGCGAGGAGGACGCCCCAGCCGGCGAGGAGGCCCCCAAATCAGGACCAGAACGAGGGCCCAGCGTCCGCGGTCCAGGTCGCGCCCACGCGACGCCGCGCGCCGAGCGATGCGCGGCAGTCCAGGCCGCGAGGCGCGGTCTGGACGAGGCCGCCCGAGGGCGTCTCAAGCAGGATGGGGCCTGCGGCGAAGCGCGCTGGGTTGCGGAGGAAGGTGAACATGCTCAGAGGCAGCGGTCAGGGGCCCGAGTTTGCGCGGCAAGCATCGCACATGTCTTGCGGCCAGGCCGCGGCCGAAGATTGTTCTGGTAGAGTGGATGAGTATCCAGTGGGCGGGCGTCTGCGCGGGGCTCGGGCAGGACGACGCGGTGCCGTCTCAGGCGTTCATGGGGGGCAGTGTCGACGCTGAGCCAGCTGGCGCAGGGACGCGCGGAGTGGGCCCAAAAGCTGGATCACGTGGAGTTGACGCAGCAGAGCCAGGGTCGAGCGCTTGCGGCGGCGGTGGACTGGCACGCTTTGCGGCGCGCTTTGCGGCGCGGCGGGCATGGCGCGGCAGGCGGTGAAACGCGGTGGCGAGGGCCGACCATGCGCCGAGGAGCCGCAGGACCATGGGAACATTCATGAGGTGCGAGCCGCCGGCGGCGCAGAGCTGGCTGGGCGACGCTTTGAAATGATCCCGCGCATGTGCCTGTCACCGAGGAGGCGGAGTTGGAGTCTTAATCAGCGGGGGCGCCCAGGCCAACCGAGCCAGAAACGCTCGGGCGCGTTCGCGAGCTGGGGCATGCGCCCGCGGTGTTCGGCCTGGTCACGGTCTGCAAGGGATGCGCGCGATTCTGCGTCAGCGTCGGGCGCGCGCTGGGCCCGATAACGGAGCGCCCTCGGCAGTGGGAGGGCCCGAGACCAGGGCGGCGCAAAAGGCTGCCATCAAGAAGGCAATTGATTAGAAGCGCTCGAAGTATGGAGTGGTCAGCGGAGGTGGTGCGGCCAGGCATTCGATCTCTTGGCGAAGCTGACTGCGCTCCTCAGCACGGCCCTCTCCGCGCAGGCGCAGAGCGCGAGCGACATGTCGAACAGCGCGTCGGCCGTTTTGAAAGAGGTTGAGGGAAAGCATCTACTTCGGGCTTGCGGCGAAGCTCAGGGTTTGCGAGTCGGGCTGGAGATTATCGCTCGGCCATTTCACGGCGACCTTGCGCGGAGCAGGATTCGGGGCAAGAGGCGTGTCCCCAGCGGTGCCGTCTTCATTGGCAGTTGCAGTCAGATGCAAGTCGATGGGTTCACCTCCACCTGACGCTTGGCTGTGGAAGGAGATCGGCGGCGCCAGTGTAAAGACAGCCTGGAGGTGCGTGTGGACAGGCAGCGGGTCTGGTCGCGCTCGGGGGATCTTGCGCCCGAGCAATGTAGAGGCAACTGCATGTCGATGCGTATGGTCTCGGTCTGGCACGGTCGCTAGCCGCTTTTTTCGTGACCCACGCGTGCCACGCGGGGGTGTTTGCAGCATTGGCCCTAGTTCCTCCATTGGATATGGGGGTGCTTCCCCACTTCGTGCACGTGCAGTGGTCCGCCGAGGTTTTTGGTGGATGAGGCCACGAACACGGCGGCTCCACTGCATGTTCCTGACGAGTTTCGTCGCTTCCGGTCCCCTGAAAGGGGCGCGCCGCCGCGTGGCGTCTGTCTGCGCGGAGGGCCGCAGCTGCCGCCGCAGCCCCGCCCGAGGCTTGGCGTCCGCCTTAGCGTCGCGTGCAAGCCTGAGGAGGCCAGTCGGGCAGCCCTATCGCACAGGCCCGAGTTCGTCACGGCGGACTCGCGCCCTTGCGGGGCGCTCTGTCCTCCTCCTCGTCTGCCCCTCCTCCGCCTCCTCACATCTCATCCCCCATCGTCTTCACATCTTCCTTCCAGCAGGAGGATACGAGGAAAAGGAGGAGGAGGAAGAGGATGAAGAGGAGGGCTTTGGAGGGAGGAAGAGGACCAGGAAACGGAGGATGGTGAAGATGTGGAGGGCCAGGAGAAGAAGGAGGAAGCGAAAAAGGAGGGTGAAAAGGAACAGCAGGTCTGGGGTGGTGGAGGAGGAGGGCGGGAGGGAACGAGGGAGGGAGACAGGGAGGGAGGGAGGAGGAAGGAACAGGCGGCAAGGATTCGTCGTCGACCCTTCTGGCCCCGCCGAGGAGGAAGCGCAGCGCCGCGCCGTGGCGCTCGCTGCGCAGGGGCCGAAGGCGAGCGCCAGGTCGATGGAGCTACTGAGGGGGAGGCCCGTGCCCTGCCGCTGCCGCTCCTCCGCGCTCTGCCCCCAGGATCAGGCGAGCGCAAGCATGGTCAAGGGGGGCGTGGATTCGCGACGGGCCCCACCTTTACGGGACATCGCGGACTTTTGGCGCCGAGCGAGGCGGCACCTGCCGCATTTTTGGGAGGGCACCTCCCCCGATGGATCGCTAACCCATGTTTGCGCGCCCCCGACAGGAGGGAGGAGGAGGAGGAGGAGGAGGAGGAGGAGAGGAGGAGGAGGAGGAGGAGGAGGAGGAGGAGGAGGAGGAGGAGGAGGAGGAGGAGGAGGAGGAGGAGGAGGGAGGAGGAGGAGGAGGAGAGGAGCAGGAGGAGGAGGAGGGGGTGGGCATGCGGGAGCAACCCGTGGGAGCCTCGTGCGGTCGGAGAGCCCTGGCTGGGCGCGTCGCTCCGGCGGTTCTCGCCCACCACGCCTCGGCGCGACACGCTGTCCACTTGGCGGCCCCCCCCCGGGTGTCCGTGCCTCCTCCTCCCTCCTCCCTCCCCCTCCTCCTCCTCCTCCTCCTCTCCTCCTCCTCCTCCTCTCCTCCTCCTCTCCTCCTCCTCCTCCTCCTCCTCCTCCCCCCCCTCCACGCTTGGCGCGACACGCTGTCCACGTGTCCGTGCCCCGAGCCTTCCGAGCCTCCCGCCACGCGGAGCGGAGCGACACGCTGTCCACTCGCAGGGCACCGCGTGCCTCCGGGGCCGCCGGGGCGACACGCCACGGACGAGTTCCTGACCGGATGTCCTCGGAGTTCCGTCTTGGGGAGTGCACTGGCGTGCGCTGGCGTCTGGCAGTCGGTGGGAAGCGCCGACGGTTGCATCGAACAGCGTCGATTTAGCGTCGGCTCGCGTCGATTGGCGTCGATTTGCATCGGTTGGCGTCGATCAGCGTCGATCACCTTCGATTTAGCGTCGAGTAGCGTCGGCTGGCGTCGATTAGCGACGACTGAGCGTCGACTCGCAAGAGCCAGCAAGATGGCACGGGAGGCCCCCGCAAGCTGCTGCTAAATGGGGGCGCGCGGCGGGAGCATGTCGTGCCGGCGCCCTTGGCGGCCCCAGCGCGGGGGTTCAAGGCTGAGCGCCACCAGTCGAGCAAGAGCAGGGGGGAGGGAGAGGAGAGGTGAGGCGGGGGGGGGGGGAATCCAGGGAACACGTCCCGTCGACCCTGGAGCTCCACAGAGTGCTCCAGAATCCCAGCCCTGCCACCAGCAGCGCAAGACGATAAGGGATGCTCGTGGGAAACCTCCTGGCGAGTGTTTTTTTTTCTCAGGAGGAGAATATCACACAGACAAAAGTAATCGCCGACTCCCAGGAACAGACGGTAAACTATGGGAGGTGGGGGGGGGAAGACGACAACCCACGGAATACGTATGGGAAGATGCTGGGGACCCCGGGATGTGTGCCTACTTCTTGGTGTGCGCGCCGGGGCCCCTCCGCGTTCGAGGAGCCACCGTTCCGATGCGGTGGCTCCGCGCGGCCTGCCGGGGTCGGCGCTGGCCCCCCCCCCCTTGTCGTCGCCCCTCTGGTGCCGGCCCCGGGCGCCCCCCGCGCTCCCGGGGGAGGGCTGGTCCAGCGCCGACGCAGGAGCATCGGGGGAGCGTAAGACCCGGGTTTGCCAGGACTCGGGTTCGCCATCGTTTTTTGACGGCCGCGATTCGGATTTTGACGAGGAGGAGTTTTGTGGGATGTCTGCAGCGGGAGGCCTCGTCAAAATGCAGGCTCGGCCTCGTCATTTTTTTTGACGACCTCGTCGGGGATTTCCGAGTCCCCCGTACCCGGGTCTTACGTCCCCCCGAGAGCAGCCTGCGCGAGGCTCAGAGAGAGCCTGCCTCTGCAGTCGTCTGTGCCTCCTCGCGCCGCGTCGGCGCACTCGGCGGCCTCCGCGCGGGGATCTTGAGGCTGAACGTGGCCAGTGGCTCGAACTTGTCCGACCTGGAAAGGTCTGCACCATCGGCAATGTGTGCTCGTTCGAGTTTGAACGAGCCACGCGGTGTCGAACGCCGACGTCACCGCGACGTGAACACGCCGACTTGTTCGTCGTAATCCTCGTCCTCCTTGCACTTCGTCCTGATATGCGTGTTCGTCCTCTCCCGCGTCTTGTTAGCAGCGATTCTTCCTCGCACATGTTCTTCTCCTCCACCCTCGCCTCCCGCTACAGGATGAAGGGCAGGGGAAGGAGGGGTGGACGGGGAAAAGGAATCGGACGAGGAGCATGGGCGGGGGAAATCAGAACGAGGAGGAAGAGGGGGACACTGACCATGGAGCAGCAGGAAGATGGATAGAATAAGAGATAGATGGTAAGAGATAAGAAATGAGAAGGAGGAGGAGGAGAAGGATGAGGAGGAGGTGTGCCCTCCCCTCCTCCTTACCCACCTTTCTTCTCCTCCTCATCCTCCTCCGTCTCTCCTCCCCCTCTTCCTCCTCACATTATCCTCGCCCTCCTCCCTCCTCCCTGCTTCTCGTCCTCCTCCCTCCTCTTCTTCCCACCGCTTCCCTTCAGGCCCGTGTCCTTCGAGGAGCGAGCGCGAGAGTACGCCGCGTCCCGCGAGCAGATGCTGCAAAGGATGCACGGGGCCGCAATCCTGGTTTCCCCCGGGGGAGACGGCAGAACAGGAGGCGTGAGGGAGGAGGGAACGAGTGAAGGTGAGCGCTTAGCTGGCCTGGTGCGCCCTTTTTGAAACGCAGCGCGTGCCGTGTTCAAGACGTCAGTGTGAACAGGCTGCGTGTGGGCTCGGCGCGTGGTGGTCCACGTTGGGGCGAACGCATCGCGCCAGGCCTACGTTCTTCAGTCTCCGTGTCAACACGCTACGCAAGGGCCCCCTCGAGGGCGCGAAGTTATTCGCGCTTCGCGCTTCGCGGTCCTCGTTCCTTCTCCCCCTCCTCCTCGTCCTCCTATTCTCCCTTTGGGAGGGCGGCGCGAGAGCGCGAAGTTATTCGCGCTTCGCGCTTCGCGCAGCGCGAAGCGCGAAGTTGGGAGCCCTAGAGTTGTGTGACGCGTGTCGGGGCATCCGAGGGTGAGCGTGGGTGAAAGAAGGGGGTCGGAGGGATGGGGCTGCAGGGAGGGCAGGAGGGGAGAGATATGCTTCTATCCGCGGTGGAAGATCCGGGGGGGGGGGGGGCAGAGAGAAGGAACGCGGGCGCATCATGGAGAGAGGGCGGAGGGAGGTCGGTCGGAGAGAAGACGTGTCCAGGAAGACCCGGAAAAGGGATTGGCGGACGAGGGAGGGGGGAGGGGAGGAGGGGTGCGGAGCAATCTGCTTGGAGGCCTTGGTGGTAGCAGCTGCTTGCGCGAGCCTGGACCCCGTGGGGGGAGGGAGGCATGTCGAGGGAGAGCGGGTCTGGAGGGCAGGGCAGGAGCGAGGATCAAGGTCGGGCGCTTAGGGATTCGGGGGCGCCCGCTCTCCTGGTCGTCGTAATAGTGCTCCTTCTCCCCCTATGTTCCCGTTTCGCCTCCCCTCCGCTTCTCTCTCTCTCTCTCTCTCCCCTCTCTCTACTTCTAACTGTTTGGGTGCTTATCTATTTCGTTCGTTCTCTCTCTCTCTCTCTCTCTTCTCCCCCCCTCTCTCTCACTCTCTCCCTCCATCTCCCTGGCTCTCTCTCGGAATCTTTGTAATTGTATGTTATTTCCCGTGGTATTCAGATATTATGAGCGTTTGGCGCACCTAGGTTCGGAACCACGCTTTTGACATACAAGCGGCATTCACTAGTGTGCTCCACACGTATATCTGGGGGCTCTCAGTGCGCTCGGACTCCCCCGCCATGTTCAGCAAGCTGTTCAAGCCCTGTATGCAGATCAAGAAATGCGAATTTCCAATCGCGGACATGCTTCTTTCGATGGGGGTTAAGCAAGGTTGTCCCATGTCTTGCCCCGTCTTCTACGCCTGCATCAACCTTATTCTGACCAGGTTCCGGTTCCGGAAAGCCCTCCCGGCCCTCCCCGTGGTCCTTGGGGCCGTCACCGGCGACCTCGGAATCGCATCCTCGCCTGCTCCTTGCCGTCCGTCGCATTCTCGAGGATGCTGCTGTTGCCTCTGGGTTGGTCCTGAACCTTCAGCACAGCGTCTTGGTTATCCCGAGTGCTTTATTCCGCTGGAAGGTGTTGTTCGGAGGCTGGGGGAGTTAGGAGTGAACATCCCGAAATGTATTGTCGCCGAGGAAGGGAAGTACCTAGGTATCCACGTCGGAGCTGTGGGGAAGGAGGCGTCTTTGAGACAAGTCATACATATTCTAGCCAAGGGAACTCTCTTGGTCAAGCAGCTGGGCGGTGGGCTCAGCTACACCATTGCCGCCTACCACATTTTGTTGCCGCCCGTTGCCCGCCGCGTTGCCTGGATGTGGGCTCCGCCAAAGAGGGTAAAAGGTCGCCGAGCAGAATCCCCTCCAGTGCCCCACCTGTGCTCCGCGGTTCAGCTCAAGCCCACATCTGTCTAAGCTCAACGATCTCGGGCGCCATCTGGCAGTTTGGCGACTAGCTGCGGTTGCTCCTGCGACCTTGTGCGAGTCGCCATCAGCAGCCAACGCTTCCTGGACCTGAGATGCGGGGAAAAGCACACAGACAACAAAAACACACACACACACACACACACATGTGTGTGTGTTTTGTTGTGTGTGTGTGTGTGTGTTTTGTGTGTGTGTGTTTTCCCCACAGTGTGTGTTTTTTCCCCACAGTGTGTGTGTGTGTGTGTGTGTGTTTGTGTGTGTTTGTGTGTGTGTGTGTGTGTGTTTGTTGGCCAGGCCTGCCGAGTCCGGCGGCGCTCGCGCGGAGGGCGAGCCTTCCGCCGCAGCGAGGGCCGCCCCTGGGTGCCCGCGCCGCCGTCCCCAGGCGCAGCGGCACCTGCAAGGGAGTGCCAGGCTTCCTCGCCACGGGGGTTTTGAAGTCCTTGCCTAATGGGCGGAACGCGACCAAGAGTCGGGGGTGGACAGAACCCCCAACAGTGACACGTCGATTAGTGAATTGTCCGTTTTCGGTTCTCGAGAGGGCGCCGCGGCCGTTATTTTCCAGGCTTGCGCCCGCCAGGTTTGGGCCTCAGGTCGTTTTCACTAAACCACGCTTTACTAAAGGGAGGTCTGTCCACCCCCGAAAGAGGTAGGTATCGCCAATGGGGCCCTGACACGTGGATCCCGACGTCGCGCCGTCGGGGAATGCGACCCTCATCCAGTGTGGCAGCTGCTCCGTCTTGCGCACGACGGGGAAGAAGTTGACCCCCCCTGTGGTTGCCTGAAGGCTGTTGCGAGGGTCCTTTTCAAGCCCAGCCCAGCTGCCCAGCTGGTCCAGCCGCGTTGCGTTAAGTTGCCTGCTTCGCAATCGCGGGGTGCTCCGCGTGCTCGCTCTCTGTTGTGGATTTTCTGAAGAGGCGCCAATCGCGCGCTCTTCCGCCCACGCGTCCCGCAGGATGCACGGCTTAGTGGTGGTGGTTGTGCTGCTCTCGGCCTAATCCACAGTGCCTGTCGGAAACTTCACGCATCCGCCCCTCCCACGTTTTAGACTGAGCATGCCTCTCTGCTTCGGGCCCGCCTGCGGGTGGGGGGGGCAGGACGAGCAAGACTCTCCAGACTCTTGAGCGGCCCTGCGGTAGCGAGCCCTCCGGCTCCGCGGGCACAGTCATTGCTTGCTCTCGCCAGCAGCTGCAGCCATGGCGCGGGACCTTGCGGGCCGCGCTGGCGGCCTTTCCTGCCGCCGGCGCCGTCACCGACGTTCCCAGCTCAGCCTCCCTTTGCTTCCAGGGCTTCAATCGCTCGGTGCCGACCCACGGCCGCCCGGTGATCTGCGCTAGCCAGGAGGAGGTGGGGGGGGCGCTGGGGGCGCGGCTGCCGGCCGGCTGGTCCTGCGGGTGCCGCAAGAAACGCATGCCCCGGCATCGGCGCGAGCGTTGCAAGCAGCCATGGCATGCCACTTCTGCCGCCAGCGGCGCCACAGACGCTGAGGACGAGAGCGCCAGTGTTTCTTCCTCCACCTCAGTCGGCGGCGGAGGCTCTGGAGGTGCAGGAGCAAAGCCCAAGGGCGCGGACTCTGTCAGCATCGCAGACCGATCAGCTGGCGGCGACGGGCGCGTGCGATGTGGTTGCAGCGACCGTGTACCGCAAGGAAGCAGCAGCTCGGCGTCAGCCGGTGCACGTACCCCCCGTCCAGACCCAGGCTCCCCGTGTATATGCGACGCTGCGGGCAATGGAAAAGAAATTGCAGGCAACGGTCGCCAAGTTCGATGAACAATGGTCGGCGTTGGGCAGGCAGTGCGAGATGGCGGCCGAGCTTCGGGCAGAACCTGATGCGGCAACGAACTCTCGCAAAGAGCCCAAGTTATCTCAGCCAGTTCAAGGTGAGCTCCCTGGACCAGCGGCGCGCTCTGTCAAGGATGTCCTCGATGGCACCTTCGCAAATATGCTCGCGGTGGACGTGGACTTCTCCTCGGCAGACGAACGCAATTATGAGCTCACGGACACGGGCGACCAGGAGATGGTCACCAAGGGCCAAACTCCTATGCAATCCCGTGCTCGGAACTCTTCGCCTGGGCGAAGCCGACAGCGGATCGCATCAGAGCTTGAACGCGAGGCCCGCGTCAAGCGTATCGCGGTCGAACGTGCGCGAGCTGAAGAGCCGGCGGCCGAGGGGCCGCGCGACGCAAGTGAGAGCGAAGGCGCAGCTCCACAGGGGGCGGAAGGCGCCCCAGGGCCAGCGTGCGCTCCCCGGCGAGCCTGCGGAGTTGGCCTCGCCCCGGGCTGATGCCGATGGCTTCAGACCCCCTTGGACGCTGCAGCGAGCGCGCGGACACTCGGGCCCTACGCCCCGTTGGGACATGAAGCTGGCGTAGAGGGGGGGGGACCTTTGGGCAGCAGGTGTGACGTCGTACCCGTGGCCAGTGGGCCTATGTTCCGTCGCACTCCCGCCGACGAAGGCGGCGTCGCGCCCGCTGCGCGTCGGTCCAAGGCTTGCGTAGTGCGGCGCTCCACCCTCTCCTAATGATCTGCGCGAGATGTGGAGATGTGTCTGGAGTTAGCGTGCCCCGCGTCTCCTTGCCTGCTCGCTCCCCGTGTCAGCAGGCCGAAGTTGGGCACTCGTTTCCAAGCGCGCCCCGTCTGGGTGCACCCGTGGTACGGTAATCCCGTTGAGCCTGTAGCTGGGTCCGGGATCCCGCCACCCCCGTCGCCCCCTCCCCCGTCCGACCCGCTGTTTGCATCATTACAATTGGTTCATCAGCTTTGTCACCATAATTGTCTTCTTCTGTTCATCCATCACATGGCGATTCACCCTTTGCTTAGTCATGGACTTCTGTGTATCCCTCTCATCGTTATCCCAGCTCTTCTGCATTCCTCTCATGGAGACGCCCCGCAATTACAATCCTGCTGTAGCAACCTTTACATCAGGATTCCCTTTGTGGCGACCTCACAAAAGGGTTTCAGTGTGGGGGATCTGCAGTGGAGGCACCTTGAGCCCAGGAAAGCAAGAGAGGAAAACAAGACAAACAGCGACAACAGGAACAACTTACGTCTTCACCCGGAAAAATATGAAAAAACTAGAAAGACGTGTGACTGTTTGCATTTTTATGGTGCAGACGCGCCATACAT